CATTGTGTATTTTATTTCTTTTTTTCCTACAAACATTGTGAAAAATATTTTTTGACTCACAAACATATCTTTGAAAAAATTCTTTATTTGAGTCACACTTTTCTAGTATATATATAAAAAGCATTTTAATAATAACACAAAGAGACAAAAAAGCATTCTCATTGGCTGTAAATGAGGGAATGTGCGGAACTTGGAGGGAACTTTCTGTGACCAACGGCATTGCATTTTGCTAGGGAATATATATATATATATATATATACATACATACATACATGCAAATCCACATAGATTGATTTTAAAACTCTCAAATATCACAAAAACTGATAATTAAAAATATATATTGAGAATCAATCATCAACACTTTTCAAGTCAGGTATCAGGTTTGAGCTTAAAAAACTGCACATCTTGTTGTTCCATGCAACTTCAACGGAATTAACTGGAGTTTGATATTAAATGGAATAGTAGAAATGAACATCATTGTTACTTCTTTCTTTCTTTCTTTCTTTTCCCTTTTCATGCTAAGACTTGCCAAATGCAATAAAATTCCAGTTAACTATAATAGGAATGACATAGTTTCTCAGTCTCCCTTGTACAAAATGGATTTATTGGCTTCTGTTTCCATCCAAACTCAACCAAATACTTTTTAGAAACTTGTGATACAAATTTAGAAATGCACAAATTATACATCTAAATACATGGGTCAGTAACGGTCATAGGGGTCGTAGTAGTAATAGGACTCAGTGTGCACTATTTGTGGGAACTTGATGAGCAAAAATAGGAAGCATTGTTTATGGGCTCCAATGGATGATCTCTCCTTCAACTTTTTTCTGTTCGGATGGATAAGCACCAATTTCATTCCAAAACAGCCCAAGTCAGCCCTAAAGGATTTCACGTATCCCACTTTAAGTTCCATTTTTGTTGTTGTTCGTGAAAATCTTCTAAATTAGGAAGAACATATATATATATATATATATATATATATATAATTCATATGCTAATACCACCTTTGTCTTGAGAGAAGAAAAACAGTCTTTGCCAGTAATACTTCCAAAAATTAATTATAATCTCATTTATCCAACACAAATTAACTCACATCACTTTAAAAAATAAAAATAAATGAAAAATAAAAAATTTGTGATATCAAATCTCACCTAGTTAAAGATACCATATGGGATTCCACTTCACCAACAAGATGTTCCCTTGTCATGTTTTCACTTGGGGCTTGTGAAAAGGAATTGAAGACCCAAATTTAGGGGTGAGCTTACACATGGCCAGAGTGAATGGGAATCCAGATGAAAACCAATTCCACAACCCTATTATTTGATGAACCAGGGGAACTAAGATTGTGCCTTGGTGGCAAGGTCCCTAAAACCATGTGTGGAAAGAGCTGTCCATACATATCCAATGGGAGGGACTAGAAACCTTCTATATTTTCCCTCATACATTAGTCATACACCACCCATTTGGCACACCCGCTAAGTCTGTTGGGCTATGGTTTGTTTGCCTAATATTGTCCCAGACTGAAGCAGATTTGCAGCCCACATCATTGAATGTATTGAACAAATGAATGACTAGTTTTTATGGCTTTTCTATGGTGGGTTGATGTTCTATTCCACATGCTTTGGGACGTGTACAAACAGTTAATATGCACACAAAAACACACACATACACACTCACTCTCTGTTTTTGTTCTTTTGGGTAACTGTTGTCTATGAGACTGTATGTTTAATAATGCTGTGTATGTTTATTCCTTGCATGAGCTGTGTGTCAATCTGAAGTCAGATGTTTAAGTTGTGCTGTTGTTGGCAGAGAATGCTTCACAAATGTTGTCTGTTAGAAGATCATTATCAATGTTTTCAAATATATATATATATATATATATATTATGTTTTGTTTTGTTTTGTTTTTTTTTTTTGTTTTTTTTCAGTTTCACTGCATGATCTTTTTCTTTTTTTGGATGTTGTTTCTTGATGCTTTTTTAATTTTTTTATTTTCTTCTAGATACAAAATAAAAAAGTATCAGCCTTCTATTTTATTCACTTGATTTGTTCACAGTTTCATCAGCATACTCACAGCCTTTTTATTTGGGTACAATTTTCTCATCTAACTTTGTTTCACACTACACCACCTTTATAAATCCAAACTGTATTGGAATGTTCTAAGCATTGTTGCAAAACCCCACATGTTACAAAACACCCGGCTGTGAATACAATATCAAATTCAAAAGCCATGGGCTGCAAGCTGGGAGTTGCCATGCTATAATGGGAACACTCTCAACAACCTCCTGCACTATGATTAGGTTTTATACCACACAACCAACAAACAAACAAATAAACAAATGAAGCAAATTGAAGTGTGTGAGGATTATTATTTCACAATTCAGGCAATGCCTAATAGCCCAGGGAATGCACTGTTGTGGCTTTGGTAGGGAGGAATGGTTTATTTTGCTACTTTCCTCTTTGTGAACTATGCATATTAAAGAGAGACATCAGTGTATTTACTCATGCTGGTGACTCTAAAAAATAGGCAAATACTAATAATAATAATAACACAACGAGTGAAGAGGGCTAGGATAAAGCTCGGTGGCAGAATCAAAACAAGGCAGAATCATTTCCCCAGAGACAAATAATAATAATATAATAATAGAAATGAAAGGAGAACGTGCTTTGGAAACACCTTTTTATTTTTTTCCCGAATTCACGTGACATCATCGTCGTGAATGACGTGACACAAGAGATTCTCCACGTCAGCGTCGGATCCCACTGAATCCCATCTGGCGGATGCCACGGGACCAGATTCCGGGGCCGGAAGGGAACGCAGAAGCCCGTTTGATATGGGAACGCGGCAGTGCGGCGTTCCCGTTAACCCCTTCGCCACCTGGACTCCCTGGTGGCACACGAGTACTTTTGGCGCGTCTTTTTCGTTTCCGCCGGGTGCACACCCCCCCCCCGTTCTGTCCTTCCACCCGGCCCGTACCCATCCCCGTCCGGCCTGTCCCCGTCCTTTTTTGCAACATTATGTATTTTGTGTAATGAATGTTGCATGGCCCTCTTTAAATTTAATATTCTCAGTTCGTTCAGCTTGAATTCATGAGTTGTGTGCTGGAACACTTTGTTGTGGTTTGAATTTGCGACAGTATGTCATATATTTATATATATAAGTATTAATGATTATATTTAGAAATATGTTCCTCAAATCACTGATTGTTTAAATACAAAACCAGTCACTGTATTCCCATTGAATTTGTTACTTTCAGTTTTGAATACGTTGTATGTATACATATATACATTAATACATACACGGGGGTACATTTTGGGGGTGCTTCAAAGAGAGGCATTACACAGATAAGCCAACCTTATTTAAACTCACTCCAGTTGTTATTGATGTTTTTAATTTTCTTGAATTTAGTAAGGAAAGTTAATGAAAACATATTAGTATGGCAAATATGCTTGTAGGGAAATTAATAATAATACATAAATTTTCCTTGTTTTTGACAATAAATGCATACCTTTTAAAATTATACTAATGTTGTGCCTACTACAAAGCATGGATGTAGATTTTTTATTTTTTTATTTTTTTCCCACAATAAATAATAATAAAAATAAAAAAAAATCTAAAGAAAAAATGAATACATTGTTGGTACTCTCAAGTACATAGATGAATAATTTTGAATAAAATATGTATATATGTATATATATACACAATATATTTTTCTTTATTTTTTACATCTAAGACATTTTTTATAATAAGATGTATAATGCATTACATCAATGAGAGTGTGTCAAATCACTTCATCTAAAGAAATATATATATTTAAAAAAGATATTTGTAGAGTTCAATACTTTTATTCATGTTTTTTATGAACTTTTCACACTTGGTATTGAAATTATTTTGCACGTGATATTTTTCTTATTTTCAGAGAAAAATAAAATAAATGTGGTATAGGGCACATGCATAAGTAAAATTCTAAAATAAAATATATTAATTTCAAAATATTTAAATGCGCATTTGATGAACTGTATTACTTTTAGATTTTTTAGTTTTTTTTAATGCAATTATATTTGATCTTATTTTTAAAATACTGTCCCATGTATTGATGACATTAAAATGAACTACTGATAGTTTAAGCATGTCTATTGTAGATATCTTTTAAAAAAGTAAAAGTTTAATTAGTTTGAATTCAATTATTAGGTTATTTTGGATTAAATTTGTGATTAATACCATATACAATTGGCTTGATTCATTTACACACATTTTTTGACCATATTAATCCCCCAACCACACACACACACACAAGTTTGTTGTATTACAAAATTGTAAGCCCTCAAAAGACTAAAAGTGACAATTTATGTGAATATGGAACTAACCAACCACTAAGAAAGTGACAAACAACATAGACTTTTTTTTAATGGGGGTAAGTAGGAAAATGAACAGAAAGAATGGACAGATAGAGGTATGAATAGTAAAGGTATGCATGTTGTTTTTGAGAAGACTAAGGATGACATGAGCAGTCGAAAAGCCAGGCAATGCATTGGAGGGGAACCCTATTTCCCAGACTCAGCAAGCTGCATGAATTTCAGTTGCAAGGGGTGTTTCCTCCACACAATTTGACTTGAACTGGCTGCCTTTTGAAGCCCACTGTCTAGTATCTGTATATTTTGTGGCATGGATTCAACACTCACTTCTTGGACTCACACAATTTTTTTTCTTCTGTGTGTGGGAAAAGTTGATTCAAGGAAGAAATGAAAAATAAATAAATTATAGATTTGAAAAAAAAAAAAAAAAAATCCTTACAATTTTCTCTCTAAAAGTATGTCACTGATTGCATTACCTTTTAATACATGTTCTAAACTGTGTTTGGAACAATGCAAGTGGATGTTTGAATTGCACACACACACACACACACATATATATATATATATATATTTATTTACACACACACACACACATTTACACACACAATCAAAGAGCTAAATATATAATTATTTGCAACAAAACAATGTTCTCAAATAGTTTCCATGCAGTAGTATTTCATCCATCTGTGGGAAGGGGAAACACATTTTTAATTGTATAAAAATAATCTATATACTTGTGGCATATGCTGAACTGGAGGCCCCAAAGCCTACATCATCTCGGAGCTAGTATGCATGGCTAAGAGGGTGAAGAAAGAAAAAAGCCTGACCATTGCAGAACCATGTATAGCAGGTGCAAAGCTGGAACTATGCCCATAAGCTCACATGTGGCCTTCTGTGAACTTCAAGTACTGGTGGTGGTCTTCAGTAGGGCCAGCTTGGCTGCATAGAATTGACCATCCCATGTAACCCATTCATCTATTTCATCCACCTCAACCCACTTGTTGAGCTCATAGAAAGGCTCATTTTAAAAGAAATAAGAAATAAAAATAAAAGAATTGTAGAGGAGGGTCACATAGAACTAATGCCGGACACTAGCAGCAGAGGCCACTGTAGTAGTACTGCCCTGGCGGCCGACTGTCTCAACACTCACAAGAGCCTGGAGAGAGAGATTCACCAGGTTAACCCATGCAGCCAGCATCCGTTCAGAAACTGGGAAGGAAAAACCAAAATAATGAAAAAGCTGACAGCAGGTTTTAGCAAGTTTGCAAGCAAAACCCAGACATCATGTCGCAGGGTGGCAGGTTTTGAGGCCGTGGATACTGTATTCTTACCTGAAGACTGATGATATACCTTTCGCCCAGGCTGAGAAATACTGCATCCTAAACCACAGAACTTGCTTCGTTTCAGTGTTGGAATACGTTTAAGGACCTGCTGCCTTCATGCGCATGCCCTGCAGTGAGTTGGGTGGAAACCAGGCGGGAGTTAGATCACACGGCTAGCATGAAGTCTTCTATGAATTGAGGTTAGAGATTAATGGTGCAAGAGAGCATGATATTAACAGGGGAAAGGAATCAACACCAAAGGCAAGGTCTGACTTTACACCATGAGTGAGGGGATGTGTTCACATAGAGGGATGAAACTTTCAGTACTCCCAATTCCAGTTTCAATCTCCCAATTACACGTCCATAAAGCACATGCGGGAATCGTCTACCCTGTCGAAATGTAATCTGCTTCCGGTACACCATAAGGCGGTCTTCAGGTGCTTGCAATTGAAAGGCCTATCACCCTACTTGTGTTAGGCCATCCAGAACTTAAAGTATTCAATTTTTGTGGGAAAACTCAAGTACCAGTGAGCTAGAAATAGTGGGCTGACGAGGATTTCTTTTCTTAAAATACCACCAAAGATTACACATGGGCTCCACTTGCAGCTTTCACAAGCTGAGAATAGAAGCGCTGCTACAGAAATGTACAATTTCATTCTGCATTGCGAACTCAAGTCAAATAACAAAGCTTTGCTTGTGGCGAAAAATAAAAAACAAAGAACCCTGAAGAACAGAATGGACAAATCAGAAACGCTATGATCATAATTAGCTTGATTCATTCACAAATTGACACAAGGAGGGGACAATGGCATCCCTCTGCCACAACGATTCACGTAACCTCCCTTGCATAATAATAAGCGCAGTAGTGTAAAACTATAAGAAACAAAATCACATTTGAGGCAATATTGGCGCTGCCAGCTTGTGCCGAATGTGATGGTTTCCCATGGCGATTTAGGGTTCAGCAGTTCCAGTGCAGAACACCTCATCAGCAGCTAGTAGATCATCCAGTCCCTGCTCGCTCATTGACCTGGGAAAATTGAAAATTAGTTTGAGGATAAAAAAGAAGGCTCTCGACGGCCTCCCATCTTTGTGCAAGCTTCCAAGTATGTATTGCAGTCCACAGCAAGTGGGCAGCATGGAGACAGTTATTTTTTACTTATTTTGATAAATCCATCCATGCACGCAAGCTGCATAGTTGACATAGGTAACCAGCATATATGATAATCAAATCACACACTTGTTGAAGCAAATATCGCATAATCGTGGCTGCGTGCTAATTGGATTAGGCTCTTTCTTATAATTCCAGGACTGATTGTTCCAGCCAATTCTGGAGTTGAGAGAGCTTTGTCCAACAAAAGTGTTATGTTTGATCAAACCAAAACATCCCTTCAGATTGAAGATCCGCTGAAAAGGATTAAAAAAGCAACAACTTTTTGGATTTGCATAATCAGATCGATCACCTGAACCGGCCAGATCACATAACACCACAACAATTACATTGTAATGTATATTTTGCAAGAAATTAAAAGTGATTCTGTTATAAATTTTCAATCGTCAACCATGAATACATTGCAAAAAGAGACCTCTTCCACATACTTCTCCTCTACAGCGTCTTTAGAATGGACATCTGCATACCTTTTCCCTAAAACTTGAACTTGGGCTTTGAGCACCTGTGTTCACAACAGGTTTCAAGATATTCAGACTGAAGATGAAAATCAATTAAATGTAGATCAATAATACATGGATCAGCTTATATTTACAGAAATTAAAATAAAAGTCAACTACGCAATGACATAAACAAGTGAAAGGTTCACCCCAACATATTGAGGCGTACTTGGATATGGTCTTTACCTACAATCCCACCAAGAGCAGCACAAGAAAAACAAGTCTGAAGTATAAGATTTATCGGAAATAATTCCCCCCTGTTAGACACGTAAAGAACTCAAGATCAGCACATATAATGTACAGCCCAAGGACGAAACAATATGGAGTACGACACAAGTTGATTGGAATGTCATAATATAACCCTTTTCAATTGGAAATTGCATGATCTGCCTCAACCATTCAGGGATTAAACAAAACAAATAAAACAAATAAAACAAATAAAATGAAAAAAAGGTAAATTTCTAATTATTAAGTAAGCTACCACAAGGGATACACAGACTAGAAAGGTATACTTCGATGCAGGTGCTAAACCCAAAATTGAGCTGGAACTAATGAGCAAGTCGGATATAAAACGATTCCTTCCCAATCGTGGGAACCTGATAAACCAGCTCAAATTCAACTAGTTCGTGTTAGCATTAGAAAATTAATTGTTTTTTGCACGAAGTTCACCATGCACACAAAACTTGGTTGGTGCTGTCTATGCAGCAAGTCTCTGTCTCTAACAAGAGATCTTAAGAAAGTCAATTTCCACACCAAGAACGAGAAAAAGCGTACACGAAATTCAAGATGTAATCTTATCCTGCAGCAACGTGAACAGAACCGAATTGGAAAATGAGAACACCACGACATGTACATGTGTATCAATCAAGGATGTTGGTTTGCTCTGACTAAACAGTAAAAATCTGACCGTGTAAAGAGAACTAAAAAGTGGTTGGATTCGGTCTAATACCCCTAATTGGTGTGCCTATCCGAATTCGACTACATAAACTACTGCGACAAAGCACTGCCATTAAAAGCTGAAATCAACAACTCCGGGAGCGTCAATAAGTTCATCAACACATCAGACGTTAATTTTTCTGTGACAGTCTGTTTCGGAGCGTTTCAAAATGCGTCAATGTTTGGAGCAGGTGAGTTCATTCGCCTAGCTCCATGAACCATTCGCAAACCATTCTGAACTGAACGGAACATGAGCATGCGATCATCAACTGTCCTACATGACTTCGAGCCTTCGCTCTGTTTTCATTCGCAACGTCGGAACTTAGATCAGTCGTTGCATTATTATATATATTACTATTCCAGACGCATAAATATACTGCTCTATGCATCATTGCTGTTCAAGTTTTCACAAATCACTGGACCCTGATGCAGTTATTAGTGTCTATGTCCTCCACATGTTTCAACATCCTTGCACAATGAATTAAGAAGAAAGTTCCACATAATAGCGCACATTTCAAATAGACAGTTCTGTGAGAAGACTACTGTGAGTTATATTGAGTTTGTGAACCGGAGAGTGCTGTGTCGCTTAAAGCTTAGACCAGCACAAAGAACCAGAGACTAAGAACACATTGATTCCTGTCTGTATAATGTAGCTGGTCATCAAAATGGTCAGGCATCTTTATGACAAGCTCACCTGTCTATAATTTAATACTTCAGCAGCTGAGCTGACTTGAAAATTTTCAAATGGTTGTAGATCTCCAGTTTTCAAATTTCTCTCGAGATAGCCCTACACAATGTAGATGAAATCCGTAAGAAGCGGAATAAATCCAAAGTTTTCCAGTTCAAACCTTTCCAGTATGTCCAAATCACTGCAATGCAGTCCATCTACCTTAAGTACTGATAGCAATGTTTACATCCAGGCATTTTTGAATAAAAGGCACACGAATCCTCGTCAAGGGTTACTAACCAACACCTGTTTGTAAGACCCACTATTTGTGAGCACTTTTCCATCATCGCAACAGACAGAAAATTTCTAAAACATACTACTACGCGTTTATGTTTTTCACAGAAACGTCACAAGAAATTGCAGGAGATTGTCTTTCATTCTAGACACCATCGTTCTCATTGTCGTTCAGCACACTTAAAATCTAAGACCCTTTTTTCTCTTAAATCTTAGTAAATCTCTTGAGCAAGCTTGAATCTTTGAACTTCATCCACACTGAAGGTTAACTGCTTAATATAAGGAACCAATTTTTCAAGCAGGATTTCTTGTAGGCACTAAATTCGCACAATAATATCGACAGTCTTCTAAATGTGAAGGACTTAAAAACTGAAAAGTAAGCTGTACTGAGAACTGAAGAATCGACTAATATGCAATCAAATGCAAACCCTTAAGCTTTGACAATACATGAGCAATATTTAGACAGCTTCCTAGCATGCACAACTTGCACATTCGGTAACTGGCATCCTTCGTGCTCCATGCTGGAGTACGTGCATTACTTCAGGATTACATATTGAAGAAGTCTTAGAAAAAAAGGTGAATAAAGGCACCAGTGTACAGAGACCTGCTATGTAAGATTCAATCCTTGTGCACCATGGATTTCCAACTCTATAGCTTTCAAACTTCTCGCCCAAATTGGAGTTCAGAATTCATGAAGAGCTGAAACTGTTACCACTAAGTAACATCCTTGTGTACGACATACGCCTTCCCTCCTAGTTCAAATAAGAAAAAAACACTGCAGAACTTGACCACCTTGGCCTCCCGGCTACCATTTTTTTTTTTCTTTTTTGCTGATGCAGGGAGAGGACACGCATCGTAGTTCACTATCATTAAGTAACCACAAACCAATCGAAACATGCAAAATTAGAAACCTTCACTTAGTTTGTTTGAAGGTGTTAGATACTGCATTGACAGATTGCACTTCGGGATCCTCGTACATGACAGATTGCATTTTATGAAAAATTCGACCCGAGCTCCTCTATCTGTAAATCAAGGATCGCAAATCAATGTCAACAAAAAGCATGTTTGTTAAAAAAAAATCCAGGATCATCGTCAAAGCAGACACTACTTTCACAAAAAATGAAAAAAACACAAATACACCCGAGATTTGTGATCTATAACATATCCTATTGGACTAATTCTGGTCAATCCAAGTAGAAAATCACACACATACATTCACACATTGCACTTTCTCAAAAACAAATTGTGCAAATGAAGGAACTCTTAATCCATATCAGATACAAAATAAAATTGGCCATGTCATCCGCGAGAGGACATCCATCAACGACAAGAACACAGTTGACGTCTATAAAAAAAAAAAAAAAAAAAAAAAAACACCTCGATTGAACGACTCATGGTGACTTCCTCTGCCGTTCGAAATCCTATGTTTGAACGAAGTCCTTCACAAACTGCACTCTTGCACTCGTGCTCGCTAGTTAAATCTTAGCACCACCACGAACATACGTAATTCCAACATGGCCTAACACGAAACCGCATTCAACGTCACCACCAAGTGGCAGAGGAATGCACGAAACAAAGCAAAGTGAAACGCACCAGGTCAATGCAAGCAGCGGACAGATGCTCCTAAACCTCCATCACTCACGCGAAGAAGCCGAGGCCACGACGAGATGCATGCAACATTGGCGCTTCTGCTCAGTGTCGAGGTCTCCTCCACCTTCTCCTGCTCCCGCACGCCATAGCCAATGCCATAGCCATCGCTGTGGCCATGGCCGTGGAATTGGATCGCAGCAGCACGGTTTCTGTCTTAGCCGACTTGGCTATGGCCTCGACGGCCATGGCCACATGCACAAGTGGATGATGCGGACAACACACCTTGTTTTCTAATAGAAGTTTATTTACAGTTAAAAAATCACAAAGTCTTAGCTTTGTTAGATTTAGAAGCCTCAGTCTATTTTATAGACAAAGGTTTTGTCAAAAAATAAGAAATATTGTTAGTCAAATGAAACTAAACATGTACATGTAGAAGTCATAAATGATCATTTGTTATCTTTTGGAGATGTTACACATGACAGTATTCTTTTAGATGTAGTAATTAAAGATTACAATAGCATAGTAATATTTAATGCAATAAGATCTCCATCTAATTTAGTTATTTTGGTTAGAAAAATATAATCTTCAAATAAATTGGATTTCTTGTAACCTTAATTTTTTTGATAGTTTAACCTTAAATCTTGTTAGTCAAGTAAAAATATATAAGTTAAAATATATCTAAACTCTTATAGGTAGATGCGAGAGCTTTTATGTATGCTACAAAAGAAAGATTATCTTTTGCTTTATATGCCATGCCCATTTTTGATGGTGAAAAATTGTCAAGTGATATTCCTAGCTAGTATCAAGATTTTCAAGATGTTTTTGAAAAAAAGACTGCAAATATTCTTCTAAAGCATTATCTTCATGATTTTTCCATCAATCTTTATCAAGAAGATCAACCATCATTTGGACCAATCTATAGTCTATTACAAAAAGAGTTGGCTATACTCAAGGAGTACATGTCACGGACACAAAATACAGACTTGAAATCTAACAAGAAGTTCAAGAAGAAGTGGCAGAACTAGATTAAACAGATGAGTACAAGAACAACACCAAAAAGGTGAACTAGAACTCCAAGAGATGTGGTATCGAGACTGAAGAACCCTTCAGCCTCGACTCCTATATATACTACTGAATAGGAAGCTTCTCGAGCTACTTCCGCTAACTAGGACGCTTCTCCAACAACTTCTACTAATTAGGAAACTTCTCAAGCAACTTCCTAGAATCTATCAGAATATTCTAGAACCTTCTAAAAATATTCTAAAACCTTCTAAGCGAATCTTTAGGAAATATTCTAAGAATCTTCTAGAACCTTCTAAAGGAATCTTTAGAGAATATTCTAGAAGAATATTCGAAGAATCTTCCAATGTATGTCTATGACATCACCTCCTCTTCTAACTTCGAGGTCTCCGAGAAGCAATGTTGTTATCAGTCAATACCAACGCAAGAAAATGAAAATCTGTCGCATCACATCCGCTATGAATTCCAATTGTTGTTCGCGAGGCAAATGATTCATCGGCCCTTGGAGCCAACGGTAGTGACCAACACCTTCAACCTCTGACCAAGCGTGGACTTCTGTGTCTTCATTGTGAAACTGTCCTCCAAACACACCTTCTGGCTGACCGTCGTAGGCAGGCTCGACCTCAAATACAATTACTAGCGATCTGTTGCTCGGTATCCTCCGACGTCGTCGTGGTACAGGCGGTTCTTCATCTCGCGGTCGTCTTCGTGAGCTAGTCGCTTGAGATGACATAACAAATGTAGTATCTTGACTATCCATGTCCAAAGGCTAAAATGATGAGAGCAAACTATAATTGCTAACAAAGTTCTACACTATCGAACTATGGGTTTTGGAAGTACCCTCCCCCCTTTTTATACTACTTGATGAGCAAGCTTCAGCAAGAAGCTATCGTTGAATCGGCTTAGGTTTATGAGGATATCGTTGATGAAATTCTTGTACCTTTTTTGGTGCATTGGCAAGATTTTCGGCACGCTCCCACGTTCGCTCATTGATGTCGTATCCACTCCAATGCACTAAATACTCCAATTTTCTCCTATTACGCCGTGAATCTAATATCTTTTCTACCTCGTATTCCTCATGGTTTTCAATTTCGATACTTGGTGGCGGACTTTGTACTCTTTGGAGAAAAGCTGACTCTCGATAAGGTTCCAACAAAGACACATGAAAGACTGGATGTACCTTCATAGTAGCTGGTAACTCCAGACGATATGCCACCGGATTGATCTGCTTCCCGATAACAAATGGCCCTAATCTCCGATAGTCCAATTTGTCACATGGCCGCTTGGTCTTGATATTCCGTCGAAGAAGCCATACTTTACTTCCAACTTTAAAAGTAGGCGCCTCATTTCGATATTTATCTGCAGATGCCTTGTAACTCTCTTGGGCAGATTGCAATTGAAGCTTCAACGTTGCTTGAAGCTCCGATAGTTGCTTCACAAATCCTTCAGCTGCTGGGTTGTTATTTGCTGAAGAACTCAATAAATCGAGCTTGGGGTGGTATCCGTAGTTGGAGAAGAATGGTGTTTGTTGAGTTGACGCATGAAGAGTGTTGTTGTATGCGAACTCAGCAAGCGGTAGATATGCAGTCCAATCATCTTGTTGATAGTTGATGCTGCATCGTAAATATTGCTCCAAAACTTGATTCACCCGCTCTGTTTGACCGTCAGTTTGAGGATGAAAAGCCGAAGAGAGCTTAATATCCACCTTCAATATCTCAAAGAGGGACCTCCAAAACTTGGATACAAACTGAGTACCTCGATCCGACACGATATCATCTGGTAGGCCATGATAACGATATATGTTATCAAGAAAGAGTCTTGCGGTGTCTTCACTTGACGATGTTTTCTTGCAAGGCACGAAATGCGCCATCTTTGTAAATCGATCCACCACAACAAAGATGCTGTCAAATGAATTCGATGGCGGTAGGTCCGTAATGAAGTCCATAGAAACTGAAGACCATGGTCGGTGCGGAATAGGCAATGGCTGGAGAAGTCCATACGGACGATGTCGAGGGATCTTGGATCTTGAACAAACATCACAAGAAAGGACAAATTCCTTCACATCCTTCCACATTTGGGGCCACCAAAAATCTCGTGAAATGAGCTCCAAAGTCTTGTTGAATCCAAAATGTCCCGCAGCTGGAAAGTCGTGGCGAGATTGAAGTACTCGGAGTCGAGTTGGTCCTTTCGGGATATACAACTACTCCTCAAAATACAGAAGATCTCCCTCCACCTTAAACTTGTCATTATCGACACGTTGTTTGATGTCAAGAGCTATAGAATCCTCAATGGTCGCAGTACGTACCTCGCTGAGGAAGCCGTCATCGATAGTTGCAACAGTAGCAAAAATCCTGAATTTTTCTGGTTTCAACAATGTTGTACATTGTTGATCAAACGCTGCTTCTCCAGCCTTTGGCGCAAGATACGATTTCCTCGATAATGCATCAGATAATCCTTGCTGTTTTCCAGGGCGGTAGGTGATAATAAAGTCAAATCGTGATAGAGACATATTCCATCGAGCTTGACGACGATTCAAAATTCGAGCTGTCATGAAGTACTCCAAATTCTTGTGGTCCATATAAACAATCATTGGATGTGCAGCTCCTTCGAGGAAGTGACGCCACTCTTGGAAGGCATCCACTATAGCAAGCAGCTCTTTGTCGTAGATCTCGTAGTTGATCTCAGCAGCAGAGAACTTCCGTGAATAGAACGCAACTGGGTGAAGCTTCTTGTCTATGCCCATCTGTGAAAGCACAGCTCCCAAAGCAAAATTTGAAGCATCGGTCTCTAAATAGAAAGCCTTTGCAAAGTCAGGGTGTACCAAGATTGGAGCCGTAGTGAATGCCGTCTTGAGATCTTGAAATGCTTTTGCTGCTTGTGATCCCCATTCGAGCTTGTCTTTGCTTGTTAGACGCGTGAGTGGTGCAGCAACTTGAGAATAATTCTTGATGAAGATCCGATAGAAGTTAGCAAATCCAAGAAAACACTGAACATCTCTAACCGTCTTCGGAACTTCCCAAGATATAATTGCTTCTACCTTTTTTGGATCCATCTTCAAGCCCTCTGTAGTCGCAATGAAGCCCAAAAATTCCATCTCATTCTGGTGAAATTGACACTTCTCCAACTTGGCGTAGAGTCCTCGTTCGCGTAGTTTTTCAAGAACCAAACAAACGTGCTTCTCATGTTCTTCTTCATTCTTGGAAAATATCAAAATATCATCCAGATAGATGACCACAAAGTCATCGAGGTACTCCCGAAAGATGTCGTTCATCATATGCTGAAAGACCGCTGGAGCATTGGTAAGACCAAAAGGCATGACATTGTACTCAAAATGGCCATACCTTGTACGAAAGGCTGTCTTCCATTCATCTCCTTCTTTGATTCGCACAAGGTTGTAGGCTCCTCTTAAATCAATCTTTATAAAAATTCTTGCACGTCCAAGTTGATCTAAGAGGCCGGAGATCAAAGGTAAGGGATAGCGATTTTTCTTGGTCACCTTGTTGAGTCCTCGGTAGTCCACGCACATCCGCAGTGAGCCATCTTTTTTCTTCACGAATAGGATTGGTGCTCCAGCTGGCGACTTTGAATGTCGAATAAAATTCTTGGCTAGATTCTCATCGATGTACTTTTGCAATTCTGCCAACTCCGTTTGCGATAGGTTGTATATTAGACCAAAAGGTGGTTGCGCTCCTTCCTCTAAGTCTATGGCGCAATCATATGGTCGATGTTCCGGCAGTATATCGGCGTTCTTCTTCTAAAACACGTCTTCAAAATCCCTATATTGCTCTGGTATATTCGATGTTGAGATATTCTCGCCGCTAGTTGGAGCTGCATAAATGACAAATGGTGCGCCTTCCTTGGACGATCTTAGGAACGCTCTCGCTCCAATAAACATGGATTTCTTCATGTAGGTTCTACCAACAGGTTTATTATTATTTTTTTCAGGAAATGTTATCCTTCGTAGCCTCTAATCAATGGACGGATTATGATCTTCTAACCAAGAAAGACCAAGGATAACAGGGCTTGATGGGGTTCTAATAATATTAAAAATAACGTGACTACTATGGTCCTTAAATACCACTTCTATAGGTTCTGATTCGTGGATAACGTTGCCTAACAATAAGGGTCGTCCATCTATCACCTCTACGTGAACAGGTTTGGACTTCTGTACTAAATGGATCTTGTAGCGTTTAGCAAACTCTTCATCTAAAAAACAAG